TCTCTCTCTCTCTCTCTCTCTCTCTCTCTCTCTCTCTCTCTCTCTCTCCCTTCCTTCCTTTCTTTCTTTCTTTTTGGTGGGGAGGGTCACAAGAGTGGGGAGTACCATGGGAGGACTGGAAAGTGAGTGTGATCAGGGTGCAATATGTGAAATTCCCAAATGAAAACTAAAAATAACATTTTTGAGGGAAAAAAGAAAATTTGTTGGATTTTAAAGTAATAACTTTTTTGTCATATTTATTTAAAAAAATTATTCATTTTACATACCAACCATAGATCCTCCTCTCATCCCTCATCCCACTCCCCCTACTCCTTCCTTCCCTCAACAGCCCACCCCCATCACCTCCTCCAAAAGGTAAGTCTTCCCATGGGGGGCAGCAAAACCTGGTACATTCAGTTGAGGCAGGACCAAGCCCCTCCCCGCTGCATCAAGTGTGAGCAAGGTATCTGACCATAGGTAATGGGCTCCAGAGAGCCAGCTCATGCACCAGGGATGGATCCTGATCACACTGCCAGGGGCCCCTCAAACAGACCCAGCTACACAACTGTTTCCCATATGCAAAGGGTCTAGTGTGGTCCCATGCAGGTTCCAGAGCTGCTGGTCTAAAGTTCGTGAGCTCCTATGACCTTGCTTCAGCTGTCTCTGTAGAAAAACAAACAAACAAACAAACAAATAAATAAATAAATAATAACTTGAAGGAAAGCAATAATACATATGTAGATGCTTTTAAACTATGTGCTTAAAAACGTTGAGACAGCTCTTCCACTTTGTATTTGAAGCAAAACTTCCTAAAAGCTGTGTAACTCACTGTTTTGCATTTTCTCCCCCTGCTTACTCTTTAGAGTCAACCCATCTCAGAGGTTTCCATTCTGTCAGTTTGCTGAAATTCTTCTGAATTCAATGATCAATTGTATCTGAACTGTCAAATGTGAAGGATGTTTTTCTCAATCATAATATATTCCCTTTAGTAATTGCTTAGCTGGTTATATTATTAAAGAATATATGGAAGTTCATAAAAAACAGGCAATGATATTAAGTATCTCAAAATTTCATTACTGTAATCGAATAACCTGGTCCTGAGTTGGACGATGGGGCAACGGGGTGGATCTGTGGCCTTCCTTTCTATCAGCACAGAGTCTGCACCTCAACTCTTTGCGGTCAGCTTTAGAAACAAACATCTTACCTGTCAGAAAGGGCAGAAGGAGCACTATTACTGCAAACCAGAGGAGACTCAATTTCAGATCTGGTATTATAAGATGTCTCCCTCTACCTATACAAATATCACCATTGTAAAACTAACCTCTTTTTCAAACCGTGCACACAGCTCTACTCTTAAAATTCATAAAATTGCCCTGTATGTCTCCTAAGGGTAGCAACATATAAAATACATAAATTTGTTTCTTAACAACATCGGGGTTATATCCTTTTCTAGCTTTTCCTGCATTGTAGACTAACAGCTCAACACATTTTATCGTCTGTACAATACATTCCTTGCTGGGCTCTGCAGCCCCTTTTTTAACAACTACATTTTTTTTCATCTCTGCTTCTTCACTTCTGTGGGACTGTTTCCTTATATCTGTCACTGTCTCACCCCGGGATTCAAGACACACCTGGCTGACGTCACCAAATATGACTCACAGACTTGCTTTATTGTGCCCTTCTTAACAGAGCACAAGATTCGTTCTGATAGATCCTTTATTGCACCTTTTCTTTTTTTTATTTTATTTTTTCCCTTATTTATTTTATTTTACAATACTATTCAGTTCTACATAACAGCCACAGATTCCCTTGTTCTCCCCCTTCCTGCCCCCCTCCCATTCCCCCCAGCCCACCCCCCATTCCCACCACCTCCAGATCAAGGCCACCCATGAGGACTGAGATCGACCTGATAGACTCAGTTCAGGCAGGTCCGGTCCCCTCCTCCCAGATTGAGCCAAGCGTCCCTGTATAAGCCCCAGGTTTCAAACAACTATCTCATGCAGCAAGCCCAGGACCTGGTACCACTGCCTAGATGCCTTCCAAACAGATACTGGTTATTGCACCTTTTCTAATGGAGCTCAGGACTTGTTCTGATAGACATTTTGTTCTCCAGTCTGTTTTCACCAATGGTTTTCATAGTCCCCACTCTCATGAATCCCTCAGTGCCCTTTGTCTTTTCGGTATATCCCTCTACACTCACCCTTTCCTCTTTCTTTTTGATAAGCCTAATGATACACTGCCAAACTGACTTCAGCAAACTTGCATTGAGTTATACAATCGAACTTAATGCTCTTCTAAGTATAGCCAGTATAATATGTCTGTTACAAAACATGAGTGTCTGAGAAAAGACAAGTATAAATTCCAAGAAACACAGTTTTACTGCTCAAACGATAGTGCTAAAGATACAATCTGATATACCAGCATTTTATCTTCCTCATAAGCATAGCATATGTTTGTCTATCAGGGGCAGACATAGATTCTCCAACACTTCCAGCCCCCAGTAGTTATGTGGGGCCATATGATGATTTGTGTGTGTCACTTATAATTTGAAGAAAAAGATGCAGTCCAAGTTTTCTGAGAAACTGCCACACAGAAAAGATTGTAGGATCCAGAGGGGTCAAGAACACCAGAAGGAACCTCACAGAATCAACCAACCTGGGCTCATAGTAACTCACGTAGAGTGCATAGGACTGACCTAGGCTCTCTGCATGTATGGGACAGTTGTGTAGTTTGGTCTTCTTGTGGGACTCCTAACAGTGGGAGTAGGAGCTGCCTCTGACTCTGTTGTCGGCTTTTGGGACCCTACTCCTCATACTAAGTCACCTTGCCCAGCCTCAATACATGGAAAAGCACTTAGTCTGACTAAAACTTGGTATTCCATGTTTTGTTGATACTCATGGGAGACCTGCCTTTTCCTAAACAGAAAAGGAGGAGGAGTGGATTCCGGGGTGGGAACGGAGCGGGCAGGGAGGCAGGGACTGTGGGAGCCCACAAAACTTTCCTAGTGAGATTTGAGCTTGCTTTACCCAGCAGGGCTGCATTAGTGGTCACCAGGTGTTTGGGATGATCTGCACTTGGCTGTGCTGGTGGGAGGTCTTTTGCTCCACCCCTTGGCATTCCTTTAAAGCCCTTTAGTAAAGTCAGAGGGGCTGGTGGGCTTTGACCCAGGCCCTCCCGAGGCTATCCTGTGTTTCTATCTGTCTCTCTCTCCTCTATATTTCTATCTACACATTCCTCATTTCTCCCTGCTCAAGAGTACCCGGGGGACAAAGTGGTGGCAGTCCCTCATAAGGGACTGGGATATAAATTAAATAACCAAATAAATTTATTTTAGAGAAAGATGCAGTACAAGAACCTCCAAGGGTCATTTGTTGATGGCAAAGCTTTGATCAGCCTAGATCACTGACTGTCCATGTGAAGCTCAGCTGTTCCACACACCGCCCCCTCCCTCCCTTCCTCTGACCCATACTGAGTATAGAAATGGGAGTTCATTCAGTAAAATGTTAATTGGGAGGGATAAAATTATGACACATGTCAGAATAAAGGTGACACATGTAACCATAAATTAGACAAAACTGGATAGTAAGTGTAAAGGATGATGTGAACAAGACTACAGACACCAGGGTTGATATACAATAGAAGACAGGAAAGGTTTCAGTGGTCAGAAAAGGAGAATGAGAAACTGTGGTAGGGAGACAAGAGGAGCACAGAGTCCTGGGAGCCATGATGATGCTGCACCAGGACAGGAGTGAATGAGCATTTTTATAAAATGTCAATGATATAAGGGCTAACACTAAAGCTGAGTGATCACGATTAACCAATGCAGACATTGTACGTTGCTTTAAGAAGAAAAAGAGCATGGTGTTGTAAATTGGTGGGGCAACAGAGAATAATGAATAAAGAATGAGAAATGAGGACACACACAGAAAGAGAGAGAGAGAGAGAGAGAGAGAGAGAGAGAGAGAGAGAGAGAGAGAGAAGAGGGAGAGGAATAGTAAAGAGAACTCTAAATTTTATTGTAAAGAGAGAAAATAATTTTTCTGAAATGGGAAGAACAACAATTAGCTATTCTAGTTTGAATCACACAGCAAAAATCAAAGAATGATAGAAATGGGAGAAGAAATGTGTGGGGAAATAGGTTGATGTGGGCATAAAAGAGGATGGGACCTGTGCAATAAGAATTTACTTTGGATACTAGCACATCATCACTATGGCAGTTGATACAGCAGCACATAGGAAAGCAGTGAGTCTGCAAGCAGATGCTGGGCTGGTTCTGGTTGTTCGACTCTTAGTGCTTCAGTTATTTTAACAATAAAAGTAACTAAGTTAGGGCCATAGTCTAACTGTGAGGCTGGAGAGGGCTTAGGATAACTGTGGGCCATGGGATAACTGTGAGGATGGAGAGGCCTTAGGATAACTGTGGGCCATGGGATAACTGACTGTGAGGATGGAAAGGGCTTTAAAGTTTCCAGGAGAGAAAACCCCTGGTTTGGTCACGTTGAACAGGAGAAAATGACTACACATAGGAAATACCACATGAAAGTTCATAGCCATAAATTTTAAGGCTAGTTAATGTTGTTTTGTTTTTCTTCACCCATTCTCATCTGTGCAATAAGATTTCTTTTCACAGTGTCATCACATTCCTTCAGGAGACCAAATGCTGACACCCAAACTGTACATGGATGGGAAAGCAGGTAACAACCTAAGTGATTTTATTTTACATATTTTTAACATCAGTTTCTCAAAATCAGATCATATTTCTGTTTACTTCATATTGGATAAATGAACAATTACACAATTCCTAAAAGGAAGCTGCCTTTGCAATATTTATACAGGCAATTAATACACTTCTCTTCAAGGACTGTCATAGGATTATTCACACATTTGGGTATCTTAAGTTTTAATTTCGTTGAATTAAAACTCACTTTTCCAGTTTTCTTTTTAACCTCAAAAATTTAAGTAAAAAGACAGCTAAATATAAGTAATGCTTACACTAATAAAAACAAGTTATTTACCTATATCAAGAATAAAAAACTTGGGCCAGCGAGATGGCTCAGGCACATGGTGTCAAGCCAGAAGACTGGAATTCAATCTCTAGTACCCACATGGTAGAAGAAGGGTCCTTGCCAGGTGATGGTGGCCTCAGCGCACGCCTTTAACCCCAACACTCAGGAGGCAGAGCCAGGTGTATCTCTTTGAGTTCAAGGCCAGCCTGATCTACAGAGTAAGTTACAGGAAAGGCTCAAAGCTACACAGAGAAACCCTGTCTCAAAAAACCAAAAAAGAAAAAAAAAAAAGAAGAAGGGTCCTTAAAGTCATCCTCTGACCTCCAGATGTGTGCTGTGGCATGTGCAACCTGCCATACATACAAGAAATAAATAAATGTAACAAAAAAATTAAAGAATAGAAAACTCAATTTCATCACAAAAATTATCGCCAAAGTGGAAGAGGGCATAAAAATAGAAGTCGTGAACATTCTAGTCCTGAGTCAGACCTCTGCAGCACACGGAGTGACTGGTGGAGCTGAGAGGACAAATAGGAAAATGAACCATGAGGATTCTCTCTTTTTCCTAAAATGACTGAATAAGCAATAAAAATATTAAAAGAATAGAATACCCATGCTTGGGAGATGGTTTCTGTGTTGAAGGCATGGCATGCAAGCATGAAAACCTCAGTCTGGATCTCTAGAATCCAGGTAAACCCTGACAAAGTGATGCGTGCCTATAGTCTCAGTTATTCTATGGCGAAATGAAGGTAGACCCCGAGAATTCCAGGAAGTTCCCCAGCCAGCTAGCTTGGCCTGCACAGTGATGAACAAGAGATGCTGCCTCAAATAAGCTGGAAGGTGAGGACCCACATCCATGGTTGTCCTCAGACCACCTGCACACTATGTGGCATATACATACTTGAAGTAAGACATGAAGATATGTGCACTCACACACACACACACACACACACACACACACAAGAATACAAGGTTTAAATTAAACTATAGCCCATTTGGCATAGATTAACAGTAGGCATTCCTTGAAGTCTATATAGGTTATTTTTCATCATATCAACCATACTCAAGGTAATAATAGAATCTTCACTAACATGTTCATTTATGCTAATGAAATTAATTTAAAACTGACATTGTGTATAGATAATATAAACTTGAAAATTCCCCTAATATTTTCCCCTTTTTTGCTAATTTATATTTTAATTTTTTAAAATTACAATATAATTTGAAGCTAAGTTAGAAAACATTTGAATCTAATAAAAAGG